AGAGAGAGAGAGAGAGAGAGAGAGAGAGAGAGAGAGAGAGAGAGAGAGAGAGAGAGAGGCGGTAAATGTGAAGAATTATAGGGAATGTGTCAAAAAAAAAGGAACCGCTTGAACTATTGTTAACGTAGCATAAATACCACATTGTGTGAAGCACGCTAATGTTTACATGCTAAGATGGGAATGCTGTTGGGTTTGAAACGGTAAACTTTCTAACAGAAGAATGAAATTGATAGACTTCAATTGTTTGAGACGCTGATTAAAATGTTTGTGTGCTAAGTAGTCAATACCTGTCTCTGTATATCGTGTAACACACAGACTGTGCTGTGTAAACATGAACTAATGAACAAATAGGCTATATACTCCTGGGGTTTATTTTTATTCTCCCCATGCCCACATTATTCTTACTGTGGAAGGGAATCGTGACTTACATTCCATTGGGTTTCGTTCATATACAAGGTTTCTTTATGTTTGCTTTTTTAAACCATGTTCAAAACTGAGTCCAATTACTGCGTATCACAGCAAGCAAGTTCTCAATTGTGGCCTATGCAGCGAGAGAACTTCTATTTTAAGAATATAACCGCCAGGACCAGTTTAAGAATACACTCAAGTCATCTATATACTCCCTTACCAAACAGTGTCATCCCTACTGCATTTATGTACATAGCTAGCAAGGCAACAATAAATTTAATTTTACTTTAACTTAAAAAGTAGGCCATCGATCATCGTGTAAATTGGGTATAAGTATTAGATCATTGACCAAACTACCTTGACAATTGAAATATCTCAACTCCAATTACATTTTAATACTCTGTTTTTAAGTGATATGAATACATTTTTGACCATGCGGTTGACATAGAAGGGAATTTCGGCCCGCCCAATTGCCAGAAGGTTTAGTTTCCGTGAAAACCATTCAGAGGGTTAGACAACATCATAACCAAACGGACACAGGGGGCAAGATTGCCCAGGTAAGACCAACCGAAGTAAGCCACACCCAGAGAAGAGAGAATACTAACACACTTTCCTTGCTAAAAGGTTTCTAGTTATTGATTAACTTGACTGCAATATTTAACAAGAATGGGGCAAAATGTTGTTTCTAAGTTAACCGTCAGTTGATGTTATTTTGGCAGGGTTGCTGTTAGGAGACCAGTGATCACCGACAGTAACTGTCTACGACGAGTCAGATTGTGTACCAGATATCTTGCATGGACACCAGCCAACAACTGGACAATGATACTGTTCTCAGATGACAGCAGGTTAAGCGTTGTCAGAAGTGATGGACTCGTAAGGGCTTGGAGAGCAGCTGGTAACAATCATCTTCCCAATTTTTCTGACTCTGGTTGACAGCCCGCACCTCAAATGAGTCATAATATGGGGTGTATATATGTCTATTATAGCGTGAGCTGGTGGTGGTCAACGGGGACCTTAAAACAGAACAATGCATTCAAGTACTGGAAAGGAACTTTATGAATTCTGTCGAGCATGTCTTATGAAGCTATGGCCACGCTTTTATGATTCAGCGTGATAATGCTACTCCACCAAGAGAAAATTGCAACAGTAGGCTGGTTATATGCGATCCAGATACAGACCCCCCCCCCCCAATGGGCAGCGCAATCTCTGCATCAGAACCCCATTGGCAATGTGTGGGATATACAAGTACAACTGCAAATTCCCCCCAAAATTTATTTCATACTATATTTGCACAAACGTTACAGAATATTTTGACTCCAGTCACAGATACATCAGGTGTGTCCTCCAATCCAAAGGGTACTGTGCAAAATACTAAATCGTGATCTGGTTTTAGCTTATTCATTGGTCGTACAAGCAGTAAAAGTTTGTGTAAAAATCCTTCTACAAGCAAAATGCATTGGTTTATGACTTGATCTTCTATGTAATTTTACGCATTGCATTAGGGAAGACACTTGTTTGGTAATGGACTATATAACTAAACATTAATTCTACTAAAAATGAAAACACGTTTCCCTTTATTGCCAAAACATACCAAATACAAAACCGTAGACAGATTAAAAATCATTCCTTTGTTCTGAGTTAAAAATTTCTACTGTTTCAGTCACTTTCCCAATAGAGACTGACACTAATGAATTTCAATCCTAATGGTAAGTATATAGAACACGGAGGGAGTTTCGGTCCGCCCAATTGCCAGAAGGTTCAAAATTTTTCTGTTCAAATATCCAGGGAAATTAATCTGTACTACATATTTCTTGTATATATGTGTACTGCGCTTTGTTTGTCATGATGCATGATACATTCCCTTTGGTTTATACAGAACGAATGGGTATAGAAATGTCTAAAATATGTCTTTGACTGGGGCCATATGGTGACAATTAAATTCAAAAAGACATTTAAATGTTAGTGGTACGATTATACCAGTTTACTTTTAGAAAGGACTTTACTTCCAGTCAGAAGTTCACTTTATGTAGTTAATTTGAATCATTGACAAACCTCAAATGTGGTGGTTCCGTTTACGTGACTCTTTTTTCGTAACAACCAGACTATTATGTCATCAGTCTCTCAAACAATACTAACTATATCACTAAAATAAACCGCTCGGCGTGAAAGGTCTTCAGTGTAACCGTTTAGCATTTCGTGCACTACCGTCTATCTAGGAAGTTATCGTGCATAAAGATAAGGTCAAATTTCTTAATCTGTTATTGCTTTAGTTCAGGTAAACACATTTGGCAACAGCAACCTAAATTGATTTTTCTATTTATAAACAACTTGTTATCTTGAAAATAACTAAAAACTCGACGCAAACCTCCGTCACAATCCAAATGCTCACGTATGTTAAACGTAGATGGAAAAATGTTTTTGTCCCAACGTCGATGCTTTACATCGTCACTACGTTCATGCCCCTGCACAAAACGGAGCGGTTTTGAAGTTACTGTGACTTCTGGTATGACAACAGACTTCTCCTCCGACGTAGCCACGCATCGCTTAATCTGCTGGCGTCACTATAGGATACTGAAATGAAAAACCTTCACTGAGTGAACGGCTCAATGGAAGTTCGACAGAAGGGATGCCATATTTTCCTTCACTTTAGTCTTAGATGGCAAGGATGAACGAATATTTGGTTCATATTACAAGACTGAGGTTACGTGGCTTAAATATATGTCGATGTTGCTAATTGAGCAAACTTTACAGACTTTATAATTTAAGTAGAGCACTTTTAAGAACTTGAAGACAAAACATGAATTATTAATATCTTTCTGCCCGTAGCCAACTGAGTGATAAAAGATGTTTCTAGAACCCTATATATAGACTTGACATTTAATATGGAATATTTCAGTTTCAAAGGTATCCCTAGGTAAAAATGCGTTCTTTTTTCATAAAACTTAGATCTCATATAAGACATCTGACTGAAGAAGTGTGAAGTCAGTTGTGTCGCTACCAATTAAGTGACTTCCAAGTCTGTTGCACTGCTGCATTGTGTAATATGCAGTAATTTAATGGGGTAGTGCTCCTTTGGCCTGGTCAAAGCTTGGCTTTGGGGAAGCATGGTTCTGTCAAAAGAGTATCCATATGTCGGCAACTACTGCATAGAAGAATTTGAAATTTTGCCTACAAGTGGTCGGTTTTGCAGTGCGTAAAATGAGTTAAAAAATGTTTTACAAAATTGTTAATCTGTGGCAGAATGGCGCGAAAAAGGCAGACATTGCCAGACAGATTATTGCGCCAAACGGAACGGCCCGGACAGTTTTATAGAGGAATGCCCAGACTGATGTACCTACACGGAGACCACGCCCAATGTATTGGCATCTTACCAACAGGGCACAGGACTCACTGTCCTGCAGGATATGCTGCTACAACTAAACAAACACACCCAGTCCGTTCAGAATGAGAGGCAAATTGTGACCAAAACGTATTTTTTAAGGCTCTGAGCGAATACCAAACTGGTTTTTAGCATGTTAAAATACCAAACGACCTCTGAGGAAGCCACTGTAAACAGCAAAACAACGTCTTCAGTTTCTCTAATGAATTGAAGACCATGACCGTTTTTGGGTAGAACACTGAAACCGCGTTGCTTTCTTTATTGAGGTCCTATTTCACCTGTTTCGCTTAACTGGTCAAAACAGAGTTTACAGACAACCTGAAGTGGCCTACGACAAGGCGTGTGCCACTTCTGAAGTGACTAGGGTCATTGGCAGCGTCAGTATTTGGAGTGGATACCACATTGGTGCCAAAACACCAATGGTAGTCATTCATGAAAACCTAAACCAGATGAAATGAAGGAATAATCTGGGAACCATTTGACTATCATTAGATAGGGGGCACCTTAGGAACAATTTTAGGTTGCACGATGAGATTGCCCGTTCACACAGAGCACTTTTAATAGCAGATTACTTACAGAGCCAAGGGATTGAGCAGATCCATTGGTCATCAAAATCGCCATATTTGAACCAGATAGACAATACGTGGGTAGGTTATTACTCGCCGAATCAACGGCCTGCATGTCGTACAACAAAACTGAACCAAATCGGACAGGTTTTGACCGTTGCCTGGAATTTTTTTCCAGATTAAACTCTAAAAACTCTAAAAACTCATAACTCATAAGGAATGCCTTGTCGCTTGAAAGCTCTGGTAGCATCCAGACGACGTCAGATGTAAGAGCGACCGTTGCTGTGACAAGACACTGACATGAGGGTCCTTTGTGGGGCGTATAACTCTTTTAAAGACGATAATTTGGAAAATATGGAGATCCAAAATATCGCTTTCAATGGTTGTCGTATGACTTAAAATAGGCATCTTTGTTTGCTTCCCTGGGGAATTCAATTAATGAGCTGATGTCAAAATGACATCAAATAGATAAATTAAAGTTATTAAAACATGATTTTAATCCGTATTTTCATTTATCAGTCAGTAAAATAGGAAAAAACCTTTGAAAATAATTTGGAAAAAAATATTCCATATTAAATGTCAAGTCTGTATTTGTTATGATTTGAATTAAATTTGACATCATAGTGCCAATATTATTAAAACCATACAAATTTCCAAATTCAAATTTCAAATATCTATTTTACGAAAAATATATATATGCCGAGGGGGTCATTCATTCAGCTTACCCATTGGAACGCTCAGTCTTTGAAGCAGTGCCTCTATGTTTTTGTTGGCAAATATAACATCGGAGCTGCCGGGAAGCTGTATATTAGAATTCACCAGCCCTTTGTTTTCGAAATCAAAATGAGCTTTCGTTGAAACAATTTGGTTCCGTCTTCCTATGCGCGGATAATCATGTTCTTTGCTATCTGTGAAGTAAAAGCAGTAGGTCCCTTGGAGTGCAGACAAAAGGACGCACGCAAGTCCAACGTAACAGGTGAATTTGAGAATCATAATATCTGAAAGGAGAAAAATATATTTAGATGTTTTCAATTTCATTGCTAAATCGTACAATTATTCGATAAAACCAAGAATTTTTCATCTTATTCCCGTTTCTCCGAAGGGCACAGAAACTCGTCTGTTTGTCATCTATCAATAAAGCACCTTCGTTTTCGTTGTTTCCAGTGCAACCGTCTTCAAAGTGAGAATGCAAATGCCGAATGGCAAAGTTAATACTATAGCCTAGACTTATCAAGAAGCTTTTTCTCTAATCAGCTCGATTCCTTCCCCCGTACACTCGCTTTGACTTCAGGGTCAACACCTTTCTGGTTTTTCTACGAACAGCATACGTTTAGACATGCCACTTTGCATTAATGTACTGTTCCACCTGAAATCTCTGCCAGAAAACTTTCAAATGTTAGACAAGACAATGTAGCATCATTTTCCCCGATTTCTAACGACCATTTCCCTTTACAAACCTGTTTGATAGTTCTATGGCGTTTGAAGCGGTTGCCAATATCTGAATCGCCGATTCGAACCAAGATGAGTCAAAAAGCCTCAAACGATCGCAGAATGTAGTTCTACTTTCAAAGCCAGGAGACTGTGGAGTTGACAATGTGTAGAGTTAAAGTAGCGATGATTACGATGCAAAGAATGTAGTTGTTTGTGCCAAGCCCGATTTAAAAGCAGAGGAAGAGATGAAGGTCCAACCATAGAATACTGCGGTAAAAGCGGCAGTTTAGCTGTATTATATCAACATACGTCACTCACGTCAGGTGTAGCGTTGCAGGGTGTGGAAAGTTACCAACTAATCGGTTACAATAGATATTTGTTCCAGTACTTACCACATTCATTGTGCGATAACATTATAACCTCAGGTGTGGGTAGAAGCGTGGGATTCGCGTTTCACGTGTTGAGATCATTAAAATTCTGAGAAACTAAAAATCAATTACTACTTTTTAAATATGCATGGCGCATTATATAGGTGGGCATAGGTGAAACCCAGTCATACCGGTGACATACTACGAGAGTCCACTGTGAAGCAGGGCCCAGACTCCCTTGATTTGCACAGGTAAGCCCCATCCTACATTTCCAGCCACTTACGTTACACTTACCCTATCCTGTATGAATACATTAGTGGTGGTGGTGGTGGGAGGGGGGGGGGCTCAGTTACCTAGCACTGCCAGCATATCACAACCTGGTGTGCTCAATTCTGACCCCAAATTATTTTAGAGAAATGATGCTTTTGTCTAGACAACAAACTGTCATGTCAATAATCAGTGTTCACCATATGGCGAAAGAGAGATAATTTAAATTTAATATATTATTTTCTCAAAAATCTTACACTTTTTAATATATTTCTAAGGACTATTCCGTCAACAACAAAATTTAATGCAATAAACAAATCAGAGTTGATGTTTTATGACCAACTACAATAGTTGACATCTCATTCAAAACATTTGTATATGGCATATGAATGAACTATAACATCAAATGGTGTTCCTTTTAACTCCAACCCAGTGCCCCCTCTCCCCCTCCCCCTCCCCACCTACTAACCCCACCCACTGATTACCAACACCTATTCACTAAGTTGTTCTTTACTTCAACACGCGAACAAATAAGGATGGAGCGAGCTATTGTAAGCATTTTGAACACTGCCTCATGGTAAAAATTATATGAGAACTGAAAGCAGAACGGAAGCTCCGTTACCGTATAAACGGAATAGGTGTGCACGTCTGCACTTCCTTCCCCTAGTTTGCATTTCATCGCTTCATCTTTTACAACTAAATCTATTTTAAAAAGAAAGAAATATGAAAAAAACTGATAATGAACAGGTCTGAGAGTCGTCAAACTCTCAAAACATTAAGAGGGCATTTCCAGAGATTTAGATCGATCTTACTAGATCGACCTAACTCCCTGGGAGTTCACGTTAAATTGCAGTCAGCCGACCGCGCACGGTAGTTAATTACCCCCTAACAGCTTGTAGTAGGCGGGACGGACATTTAAGCCGGATTATCTGACAGTAATCTAGTGAGACTCCCCACGGGGAAAGATCGATCTAAAATCTATGGGAATGCGCCCTAAGTGTACTGTGAATGCAGAAATTGAAGCACCTCATGAGAACGTGTAGGTAGCGTTTTGTTCGTGCTTTAACTCATTCAGATACCTTAATATTAAAGGAAAGCACGTATTTCCGAACAACTTACATTATCATAAATATGAATATTTTCTTTCTTTTAATTTTAAGCACTGTTAGAGGTATACTATCCACGATTGAAAATGACACGATGACCCAAGGCCACTAATCCCTCCCAAATCAGGTGTTAGGTGAGATTTTTAAAAACTCAAACAAGGGTTCGTGATGTCGAAATATCCTTCCGAAATGTCAGGAAGATACCCCAGTGTAATTGACTATGCAGCCATTTGGAACTAACATGTTCATTTAAAAATGGGATGAAACATGAAATCCACGTGTTCGGGTCAATCGAGGATTCATGAGTAGATGATTATTGTTTTTTTTTTGACACAAATTCGATTTGGAAGGATAATCCCGGATACCTTTAATGACTTACTTAAATGTACAAATTGATATACAAATTGGTATACACGTGTGTTATAAGATTAAGTATAACCTTAGTATTTTATATATCAGCGCAATTCTGTAATAACTTATAAGTGAAAATATTTGATAATTAATCAGTTCGCTTAGTGCACATAACATTTATCTCCGATACCTACATGTATTAATAAACCTTTTTAAAACCTTATGCGGTCTTTCAGTTTTCTGTCTAGTACAAAACACGGCTCCTCTATCACACAGTAATGTCAAAATGTTTCTGCAAGCCTGAACATTTTGTTAGTTTCTAAGAAGTTGGTGCGCTGTTATCAGGGATCAATGCTATACAATAAACGACAGGCTGACTTGGTAAATACCAAGGTACATTTATGTTACTAGATACCTGGATGCTTTTCCGTGCCAAAATAGCTTATAAAACATCCACTGCTGGTGTCCAGGTATTCTGAGAACATGGCCGTAGTGGCCGGGGGCTGACCTGAATTTTTCACGTTGCATAGAGACATGTAAGATATAACAACACGTATCTGCATCGCGTCCTTTTGAAATTGTTCGGCTAGCGAAAACTACGTTGGTGTGTGTCATCTTTAATATTCAAAGCACCAGTAAGTCTAAACGTGGTCCCAAAACTAAGCAGATACACCTGCGCGTCTTCTACGTATTTCCAAGATCTGTGCCTTTTGTATGTTGGTGTCATATAACATGACAGAAATTGTTACACGTGTTTGGTGAGTAACGATTACAATTTTGGGTTACGAGTAAAAGTCTCTACCTCCGTTGAATAAGAACAGTAACATTTACACATTAATCTCTGCTTCTTCTACTTAAATCGAACTGCAATACTGAAACCAAGTGGCAGTATTTGGCCAGATTTTCTCTGCATCTTCAGTCTTAATCTAACAAAGGTTTTCTATTGCCAGTTATCATTGTATCACAATTAAACCCTTCCCAGAGAAACATGTAGGTCTTGTTGCAATTTGAGATACGACATTTTCCAGTACCCGAGTATAAGGAACTTGTGCATTCACTGAAAGTCAATGAAGATGCGCTTAGCTTGCCTCTAAGGCGAAATGAACGGCACTAAACTGTTTAAGCATTAATTTACAGATATTTTGCTCTGGCAATTCCATCAATGCCTTATTCCTCGCCATTGACACTAAGGGTAAGTCCTGAGTTTAGGTGTGTGTCCATGATAGGACCAGTCGGAGGGTGGCAATGTTTTGAAACGTTTTAAAATGACAATTATTAAGTGCTTTAGAAGACGTTTTTTTTCTTAAACATCATGAGGATGTTTTAAAATTTTAATATTTTATATGAACACCCATAAACTGGTTGTGCAGAAATTATCAAAATTGTAAATATAATTGTTAACATAAAATATAATTGATATTAACTGAAGTATATCGTAGTAGTATCTTGACCATGTTTAGCCATAACGTTATGTAAATGTTTCGTTTAACCAGATCACTGTGTTGTTTGAAGTCTGTTTTCTTTGAACTTTTGTAGTATCCATGAATTTGTAGGGTTTGATGTTCTTTTGTTAATTGAATTAAGTGATTGTGCCTTGTCTAAATGTCGGTGACAAATAACGTTTAATGAACCTTTTAGATATTTGCATAAGAAGTTTTGGAAACATAAATTTGTATATCTTTTTTTTAACAGTTTCATAACGTTTTTCAAAAACATGTTGATAGCGTTTTTGGTTAATTTCTTGAAAACGATAAATATGTATACACATAACGTTTCCAAAACGTTTTCTTGAAATGTTTTAAAAACTTTTGCAAAACATTTGCATAACATAACATTTCTACTAGAAATCGGCTAATATCAAAACAAAGAATGTGATATATAAAAGAAAAATACAAATACATTCTTATCGTGAATCAGATAGCAATTTTTCTTGCTGTTGTAGTTCTTTTTAAAAAACCTGCCACGCACATAATACAAATACCGAGGCGTTCTTAAGTATACTTACGTTTTTTTGGTCAGTACAGGTAAAAAAATAAAAGTCTTCCTTCGGAACAGGGAGTTGGAGCCGCAATGCGTTGTATGCCTCATGGCTCGCTTAATCAGGCAGCAGTGGCATTTATTACGAACTGAAGGAATTAACATATCTGGGGATTTACGTCAAATAAACTCTGACTTAACCCACGCCTAAAATTACTCAGAGGTTATTGTAGATAATTATACAAAATATGTTGGAATGCAATTGCCGCGATGAGTAATGGCACCTTGGGTGTTATTTTAATATTTCTTTTTTCAGTGTCTGTCATTTATGGAGCATTTACAGTGCACGTGAAATATTTATACATACAGTCCAAAAAAGCTTTCTATATAAACGCCCACTCAAAGTGGAACAGCCATCATTTTTAACTTATTCCAAAAACACCTGCAGTGTATCTTCAAGATTCAAGCGGCAACCTCCCCCCCCCCCTTCCCTCCTCTACATAGGGCCTCTTCCAAAGTAGTACTCGTGTCCAAAAGTTTAAAAATTGAACTCTGGTTTACTGAATGGGAACATCTAAGGTACCTCTAAGTCACAAATTAGTTCGAAATTAAGCGAAATTTTGCGAGAGTGGGGTCAAAATTGTTGCGGGCAGTCCAGATATGTGTATTATATATACTCGATTGAGAGAGAGAGAGAGAGAGAGAGAGAGAGGTTGTCTTTGTGTGGAGTTGTCAACTCATAACTTTAATGTCTTATTA